TGACCGGTCAATTCCGAATTGCATTTGATTGGTCCGTGCATATGAGCGGTTCATATGCAATCGAGCTTTTTTGACAGGCATACAAATATGACCGATCATCTTTGGCTTGCGTTTGATTGGTCCGCGCATATGAGCGTCATATGCGTATGGGCGCAGTTGACAGGTTATGAAGTGCGCATTTCAACTGTGAACATTTCGGTGAGTTCGGCTTTGCGGTTACATCGCAACCCTAACGATCCGCGACTCAGTACAATGCGCGAAGTACAAATAAATCCCTCGTATTATCACAAATTGACAAACGAAATACGGTAACCATGTAATTGCGCGTGAGGTACGAAGCTCAACCCAAACACTGGCACCAACTAAACCACGTCATGTGCCGGGCATATTCCTCTCGATATGTCCGCCAGAACGCAAAGTTAGGGATAGATAGCTCCTAGAGTGGATACTAGAAGTTCTACCGGTTTAGGCCTCTAGCACCCTTTCCTATCCCTAACTCCGTACTTACGTGATACACGAGCCGTCGGCGCGCGATTAGGCGGTGGATATGTCAGGTCGAGCAGCTCGTGGTAGAGGGAAACGTCAACGAAAACGTGAAGGCACGTCAACGCCCGACGTGGATTCGGGAGAAGATGACGGTCTTCGTCATAGTGATAGGCTGAAATTGGGCCACGCAAACGCGATGACTATCAAGGAGCATTGCGCCACGCTGTCTGATCCGGTGGTCTTGAAAAAATTAGCTCCCCACGATTATGGCGTGGAGCCGGAGTTTGAGACGCCGTTGGTAGAACCTGACGATCTCATCGCGAAAATCACCGGAGATACCAAGATCCCGTTGCTAAACACACATGAGGAGTCTAGAGCTACTGCGGACAAGTTTACGCATCCCTTTTTTCCCACGCATGCGATTCGTGACCATCACGGCATGACGGCCATTATCACGATGGCCGACGCTCTGCACATCACAGATAATCAGCCGATCACGCAGCCGCTCATCGATTTCCATAATATGTAAGTGCCATACCACAGACATGTAGACTCCGGTGATGAACCCTTGTGTCTTGATTATCGCACTTACAAATCTCACATTGTTGTGCTACATTTACTGCCTCTTTCACCGCAGAGTGCTCAACATCCGCCGGCCAAAGTTGAGCAACGGCAAGACGTGGCTCGCGTTGGACAGTCAAAGTTACGACTACTTCTGCTCACGGGGCAAGATCGCCAGTGGAGAGTCCAGAGCGTCGATCTTCAGCTACGACTATCTGGCCATGCCAATCTTTGGCGGGTAAGTGCCATGATCCCGTGTCTAGTCTAGCCTACACGCAAAGGGCTTCGGCTGTTGTTTTGCCTGACCGTGACATTAGTTGTGTAATGTGGTGACGATGCAGGTTTCATTTCAGTGTGATGATTGTGGTCAATCCTGGAGTTGTGACTCTCCCGCTCGACGAGGACATCGCCACCCAGCCTGCGTGGTTGCTGCTGTATGACTCCCTTGGGATGCATGCTGTTGGGGGCAATGCATTCAAGAACATGACCAAGTAAGGTTCCGCTAGAGGTTGCGAACACAAATTCACTTACAAGCACGCAAACATCACCGTGCATGATTTTGTTTCATTTATTCAAACTTCCACTTCGTCTTTTGTCCTTCCCAACGCGGTCCCGTCACAGCTTGCTAGGCATGGCCTACGAGAAGGACCATGGAAACCGACCAATAGAAGAGATGAAAGCGAGGCTCGGGAGATTCCAGCCACACATCATGGAGGTGTGTTGACCAGTACTACGCTTGTCTACCATGCTACATCGTATGCTTATTCATGTGCAGCCATGCTATTATTGCAACCCATGCAATCCTGGTGCAACCATGCGCATGGTGCACCCATGTGCACGATGCTGCCAAACAACCAATGTACTGCCCGGTTCAAAGTGTTGTCGTGTGTATGGTGCCACTAAGTTGAGTGCAGCCATCTGTACATGCAAGGTGCTTTCCCGTGCAAAATGTTGTACTCTGCATGGTGCACATGTGACATTAAACATTTTACATACATAGTTTATCAAATGATACACGTGTACACTCCCGTCTGTTTTTCATTATGCTGCATGTACATTTGGTGTATTGCAGGCGTGGCAGATGCCTCTGCAGCAGAACGATTTTGAGTGCGGCATCTTCGTATGCCAGTACATTCACGCGCTTGTGGAGGCGTGTTTCGAAGGTGCTGAGAACGGGGTACGGTTCAGCATGAGCCCACTGGCATATCGACGCAGGTTACGGGAGGATGTGTGCGCTCATGCAGAAGGACGGTTGATCGGGGAGCTCACGGCAGCTGGGCATGAGATCCCTTCTGGCAATGAGATAAGGAAACCGCCCGAGCCTGAGGTGATAGGTGATGAGGTGGAGGATAGGGAGTGGAGAGCGGAGATGGCAGAACGGATGCATAGGCTGGAGGTTCGCAATGAGGGTCAGGCAGTGGCTATTGCCAAGCTCGAGAGGCAATTGCGTGAGCTGATGCTTTCTCGTACTCCGCAGCATGGCGTAGACGGTGAGGCTGCAGGGGAGGGACATGGTGATGTGGCAGGGGCCGGTGGAACTGGTGAACCTGCACGTGTGGAAGTCATGGGTGGGGACAATGCTGGCACACATGACAGCAACCCAGGTGCACATGGTGAGGGTCCTGTGGCTGCCGTTGAGACTAGTGAAGGTGGGAAGGTGCGTGATGAAGGTGCCGGAGGCTTGTTGGGTACTACGGATGGTAATAGAGGTGCTAGAGAGGCCGTGGGTACTGGGCATGGTGTGACTGCCTCGAATGTGGATGTGGATTTGGTGTCCGCATACAGCACAGGGACTGAGACGACGAGTCGCAACACTGCGCGTGGTCGAGCTCCTAGCTCAGGTTATACTGGTATAAGCAGACGGGAAGGTAAGTGGGCGGTACGAATGTGCCTAGATAACAAGTGGTTGGCGCTGGGACGGTATACCGAGGTCTTGGATGCCGCAAAAGCATTTGCAGCAGCCGCCCACATCTGCCTACCGTCCATCTCCAGCTCGAAGATGGTGCAGTTGAGCGTGGAGGAGAGGAGGTGTTTGGAGGGTCTGACGTCGCAAGGGGTTGAGAGGATTGTGGATGCGAAGCGGTGGGCAGAGTGGAGGAACTGGCGTGAAGTGCTCAGCAGCCTCCCTGAGCCTTCCACCGCAGCGCCAGCAGGAGTTCACACACAGGCTCCACCTCTCTTATCCCACCAGCACCCAGGAGCCACGTTTGGCAACTACCACCCGCCAGCCGCCGCCTTCGCGGGACCCGCAGGTGCAACCCTAAACCCTGGTGGATGGCAGCCGTACACCCACAGACACCCTCCTCCCAACCTCCATTTTCCATCCCAGCAGTTTGCATTCAACCAAATCCCTATCCATCCATTCAGCCAGGTGCAAGCCCCTATCTCCGTACACCCAGCCCCTTCAGCACCCATTGCTCCCAACACTGCAGGCCATTCCGCAGCACAAAACACGGCACCCCATCCGCATGTCCTACCCACACCACCAGCCGTTGCACCCAGCACGGCACATCCAGTAGCTGGCATGACAGATTCACAGCACAGCTTGAGCATGTCGACTTCACCCAACAATCCCAACCCCCCGTCTCACGGCTCCGCACTGGCAAGCGAGCCAGCAGCTGGTGAGATGTATGATTTTAACATCATTGCTTATCATTAGAACCATCAAACTGCTAACCTTACTTACTAATGTCACCGTTTGCTCAACGTGTACAGGGGTGGCTGACGACATCATCGAAACCTTCCTTGGTCACAAAACACAATAAATGTTGAAACGGCTTGCATCGTAAACTCCAAATCAATGTTTAGGACTCAGCATACACATGCATAGAGCTTGACATGTTTAAGCCGTTGCCGTTTAAATGGTACATGGAAAGTACTCGTGCATCCATCTGAACATGAGCGTTTTAATTAGAACCTAATTGGCCAGAGTTTATGTTTGTGCGAGTGTTTTTAGCATATAATTGGCGAGATCATAAAGTAAACTGAGTTTCATTGGCCCGGTCAAATATGGTCGCAATCCTTAATGATGGCACCTGATTGGACGTGTAATGCCAACAATTGCACCGAGCATATCATTGACGAATCATGCGCGGTCGTTAGGTTTATGATCGCGGATTTATATGCTCGAGCGCTTATTGGTTCCGAATTTGTTTGCCCGCGTGCTCATTGGTCGCGCAGTGGGGCGAAAATGGCCGCGCATATACTATTGGTCGGGCCACGTTCGTGCCCGCCAACCACCCGAAATTTTTGGGTGGGGAATAATACGAATCACTACCGCGGGATGAGACTCGTGCGAACGAGGAATTTCGGGGATACAAACCCTGGAAGGGTAATGTGCCGGAGAAAAAAAACCCCTCGAAAATGCCCTGGCGTGGCCACTCGAGCAATTATCACTGAATTTGATGGCCACTCGAGCAATTTGGGGACACGTGGGCAAGAGCGAATCACCAAACAAGGCACTGGAGCAATTCTCTCCAGATTTTGCGAGCAAGTCGTTGCCTCCCCTCCTCTTACCAATTCCTCCACTCGACAATTACCGAGAAGGGAGGCTAAAATCGAAGATGTGACGCGAATATTAAGAATCGTTACACAATCCTACAAATTGTCATTTGAGCACCACGTTTTTGTGTGACGAACAACGCAGCATAGCTTCTAATAAGCTCGGTGAAATCTCAGAAGCCTGATCAGAATGACCCCAAAGACTCTGGATAATTATATCTTGGGATGGAAACATCCCACTATCAAGCATGGCAGTACCCGGGGAATTAAACGATTCACGCGTTTCCTTGATGTGGTCAACCATGGCCCCATTCCAGTTATTTCCAAAATTCAACTCGGTTCTTGTTCCTCCAAGCGCAAGAAAGTTAGCCAAGGCGTGCACATCTGAGTTGAGCCCATGGCCGTCCGTGGCATGCAATGCAGCTCCACCACCTTCCAGAGCATTGGCCATGTCAGGCTGAGGTAACGCCAGGTTCTTGAGAGCTGGTAAAGCACCGGCGGCCAAGGGCTCCTGCAGCAAGGCATGGCGGGGCTGCATGGGAGCGTGCGTGTGCAAGCCGCTTGGGGTGGAGTGCGTGAGCGTGCGTGTGCAAGCCGCTTACAGAACCAGCCAGCGCAGCAGCGAGTGGGGTGGGCAGTGGCGCTGGCACTGGTGCATGCGGTGTGGTGACGCCGGCATCAAGGCTGCTGAAACCCCGCAGCACGTCATCTGGGAGGGCGCTCTCCCACTCCATATACGGCCACAGCGCTGATTGCACTCGCCTCCTCCCTCCTCCTCCGTGCAGCTGGCGATGCTCCTCCAGCAGCAAAGCATCCAGAAGGACTGCTTCCTCGTCCTGCACGCGCCTGCTCTCCCCTTGCTGCTGGAACTGCTCTGCCACGGACTGAGCCTGCCGCTTCCTGCTGCGCACCACCCCCGTCTCAACCCCACCTCCACCCAGCCCCGCTTGGTCTGCCCCATGCCCGGGGCAGTCCTCTCTTGCTTGCTTCACTGGAAGGCTCAGGGCAGCGGCATTGGAGGCAGCAGCAACGGGGAAGGAGGCATCACATGGGAACGGAAAATAAGAGGCAGTAGCAGAAGCAGAGAAGGTGGCGGCTTGGGAAGCAGGGTCTGGTTCCGGGGTGAGTGCAGATGAGTGGTGCGTTGGAGCTGGTGGGTGGCAGCAGGTGGCATTGGGTGAGAAGAACACGATGCTGCACTCGTCAGACGACAGCCCTCCGAATGCCAGAGCAGGTGAACCAATGCCATCCGCATGCTGCTGTTTCCGCTGCTGCTGCTGCTGCTGCTTGCCATCCTGACAGGGCAACAGCTGATTGTGGCCCTCCATGGGAACGTTCCCAGAGAATGCAGCACTCAGAAGTTTCTGCTGAAAGCGCTGAGTGAATTTCCTGCCATCAAGACACGGCCACAGGAGAGGAGCCAGAAAGGCTCAGTTAATAAAAAGGCTATGCTGCGTTGTTCGTCACACAAAAACGTGGTGCTCAAATGACAATTTGTAGGATTGTGTAACGATTCTTAATATTCGCGTCACATCTTCGATTTTAGCCTCCCTTCTCGGTAATTGTCGAGTGGAGGAATTGGTAAGAGGAGGGGAGGCAACGACTTGCTCGCAAAATCTGGAGAGAATTGCTCCAGTGCCTTGTTTGGTGATTCGCTCTTGCCCACGTGTCCCCAAATTGCTCGAGTGGCCATCAAATTCAGTGATAATTGCTCGAGTGGCCACGCCAGGGCATTTTCGAGGGGTTTTTTTTCTCCGGCACATTACCCTTCCAGGGTTTGTATCCCCGAAATTCCTCGTTCGCACGAGTCTCATCCCGCGGTAGTGATTCGTATTATTCCCCACCCAAAAATTTCGGGTGGTTGGCGGGCACGAACGTGGCCCGACCAATAGTATATGCGCGGCCATTTTCGCCCCACTGCGCGACCAATGAGCACGCGGGCAAACAAATTCGGAACCAATAAGCGCTCGAGCATATAAATCCGCGATCATAAACCTAACGACCGCGCATGATTCGTCAATGATATGCTCGGTGCAATTGTTGGCATTACACGTCCAATCAGGTGCCATCATTAAGGATTGCGACCATATTTGACCGGGCCAATGAAACTCAGTTTACTTTATGATCTCGCCAATTATATGCTAAAAACACTCGCACAAACATAAACTCTGGCCAATTAGGTTCTAATTAAAACGCTCATGTTCAGATGGATGCACGAGTACTTTCCATGTACCATTTAAACGGCAACGGCTTAAACATGTCAAGCTCTATGCATGTGTATGCTGAGTCCTAAACATTGATTTGGAGTTTACGATGCAAGCCGTTTCAACATTTATTGTGTTTTGTGACCAAGGAAGGTTTCGATGATGTCGTCAGCCACCCCTGTACACGTTGAGCAAACGGTGACATTAGTAAGTAAGGTTAGCAGTTTGATGGTTCTAATGATAAGCAATGATGTTAAAATCATACATCTCACCAGCTGCTGGCTCGCTTGCCAGTGCGGAGCCGTGAGACGGGGGGTTGGGATTGTTGGGTGAAGTCGACATGCTCAAGCTGTGCTGTGAATCTGTCATGCCAGCTACTGGATGTGCCGTGCTGGGTGCAACGGCTGGTGGTGTGGGTAGGACATGCGGATGGGGTGCCGTGTTTTGTGCTGCGGAATGGCCTGCAGTGTTGGGAGCAATGGGTGCTGAAGGGGCTGGGTGTACGGAGATAGGGGCTTGCACCTGGCTGAATGGATGGATAGGGATTTGGTTGAATGCAAACTGCTGGGATGGAAAATGGAGGTTGGGAGGAGGGTGTCTGTGGGTGTACGGCTGCCATCCACCAGGGTTTAGGGTTGCACCTGCGGGTCCCGCGAAGGCGGCGGCTGGCGGGTGGTAGTTGCCAAACGTGGCTCCTGGGTGCTGGTGGGATAAGAGAGGTGGAGCCTGTGTGTGAACTCCTGCTGGCGCTGCGGTGGAAGGCTCAGGGAGGCTGCTGAGCACTTCACGCCAGTTCCTCCACTCTGCCCACCGCTTCGCATCCACAATCCTCTCAACCCCTTGCGACGTCAGACCCTCCAAACACCTCCTCTCCTCCACGCTCAACTGCACCATCTTCGAGCTGGAGATGGACGGTAGGCAGATGTGGGCGGCTGCTGCAAATGCTTTTGCGGCATCCAAGACCTCGGTATACCGTCCCAGCGCCAACCACTTGTTATCTAGGCACATTCGTACCGCCCACTTACCTTCCCGTCTGCTTATACCAGTATAACCTGAGCTAGGAGCTCGACCACGCGCAGTGTTGCGACTCGTCGTCTCAGTCCCTGTGCTGTATGCGGACACCAAATCCACATCCACATTCGAGGCAGTCACACCATGCCCAGTACCCACGGCCTCTCTAGCACCTCTATTACCATCCGTAGTACCCAACAAGCCTCCGGCACCTTCATCACGCACCTTCCCACCTTCACTAGTCTCAACGGCAGCCACAGGACCCTCACCATGTGCACCTGGGTTGCTGTCATGTGTGCCAGCATTGTCCCCACCCATGACTTCCACACGTGCAGGTTCACCAGTTCCACCGGCCCCTGCCACATCACCATGTCCCTCCCCTGCAGCCTCACCGTCTACGCCATGCTGCGGAGTACGAGAAAGCATCAGCTCACGCAATTGCCTCTCGAGCTTGGCAATAGCCACTGCCTGACCCTCATTGCGAACCTCCAGCCTATGCATCCGTTCTGCCATCTCCGCTCTCCACTCCCTATCCTCCACCTCATCACCTATCACCTCAGGCTCGGGCGGTTTCCTTATCTCATTGCCAGAAGGGATCTCATGCCCAGCTGCCGTGAGCTCCCCGATCAACCGTCCTTCTGCATGAGCGCACACATCCTCCCGTAACCTGCGTCGATATGCCAGTGGGCTCATGCTGAACCGTACCCCGTTCTCAGCACCTTCGAAACACGCCTCCACAAGCGCGTGAATGTACTGGCATACGAAGATGCCGCACTCAAAATCGTTCTGCTGCAGAGGCATCTGCCACGCCTGCAATACACCAAATGTACATGCAGCATAATGAAAAACAGACGGGAGTGTACACGTGTATCATTTGATAAACTATGTATGTAAAATGTTTAATGTCACATGTGCACCATGCAGAGTACAACATTTTGCACGGGAAAGCACCTTGCATGTACAGATGGCTGCACTCAACTTAGTGGCACCATACACACGACAACACTTTGAACCGGGCAGTACATTGGTTGTTTGGCAGCATCGTGCACATGGGTGCACCATGCGCATGGTTGCACCAGGATTGCATGGGTTGCAATAATAGCATGGCTGCACATGAATAAGCATACGATGTAGCATGGTAGACAAGCGTAGTACTGGTCAACACACCTCCATGATGTGTGGCTGGAATCTCCCGAGCCTCGCTTTCATCTCTTCTATTGGTCGGTTTCCATGGTCCTTCTCGTAGGCCATGCCTAGCAAGCTGTGACGGGACCGCGTTGGGAAGGACAAAAGACGAAGTGGAAGTTTGAATAAATGAAACAAAATCATGCACGGTGATGTTTGCGTGCTTGTAAGTGAATTTGTGTTCGCAACCTCTAGCGGAACCTTACTTGGTCATGTTCTTGAATGCATTGCCCCCAACAGCATGCATCCCAAGGGAGTCATACAGCAGCAACCACGCAGGCTGGGTGGCGATGTCCTCGTCGAGCGGGAGAGTCACAACTCCAGGATTGACCACAATCATCACACTGAAATGAAACCTGCATCGTCACCACATTACACAACTAATGTCACGGTCAGGCAAAACAACAGCCGAAGCCCTTTGCGTGTAGGCTAGACTAGACACGGGATCATGGCACTTACCCGCCAAAGATTGGCATGGCCAGATAGTCGTAGCTGAAGATCGACGCTCTGGACTCTCCACTGGCGATCTTGCCCCGTGAGCAGAAGTAGTCGTAACTTTGACTGTCCAACGCGAGCCACGTCTTGCCGTTGCTCAACTTTGGCCGGCGGATGTTGAGCACTCTGCGGTGAAAGAGGCAGTAAATGTAGCACAACAATGTGAGATTTGTAAGTGCGATAATCAAGACACAAGGGTTCATCACCGGAGTCTACATGTCTGTGGTATGGCACTTACATATTATGGAAATCGATGAGCGGCTGCGTGATCGGCTGATTATCTGTGATGTGCAGAGCGTCGGCCATCGTGATAATGGCCGTCATGCCGTGATGGTCACGAATCGCATGCGTGGGAAAAAAGGGATGCGTAAACTTGTCCGCAGTAGCTCTAGACTCCTCATGTGTGTTTAGCAACGGGATCTTGGTATCTCCGGTGATTTTCGCGATGAGATCGTCAGGTTCTACCAACGGCGTCTCAAACTCCGGCTCCACGCCATAATCGTGGGGAGCTAATTTTTTCAAGACCACCGGATCAGACAGCGTGGCGCAATGCTCCTTGATAGTCATCGCGTTTGCGTGGCCCAATTTCAGCCTATCACTATGACGAAGACCGTCATCTTCTCCCGAATCCACGTCGGGCGTTGACGTGCCTTCACGTTTTCGTTGACGTTTCCCTCTACCACGAGCTGCTCGACCTGACATATCCACCGCCTAATCGCGCGCCGACGGCTCGTGTATCACGTAAGTACGGAGTTAGGGATAGGAAAGGGTGCTAGAGGCCTAAACCGGTAGAACTTCTAGTATCCACTCTAGGAGCTATCTATCCCTAACTTTGCGTTCTGGCGGACATATCGAGAGGAATATGCCCGGCACATGACGTGGTTTAGTTGGTGCCAGTGTTTGGGTTGAGCTTCGTACCTCACGCGCAATTACATGGTTACCGTATTTCGTTTGTCAATTTGTGATAATACGAGGGATTTATTTGTACTTCGCGCATTGTACTGAGTCGCGGATCGTTAGGGTTGCGATGTAACCGCAAAGCCGAACTCACCGAAATGTTCACAGTTGAAATGCGCACTTCATAACCTGTCAACTGCGCCCATACGCATATGACGCTCATATGCGCGGACCAATCAAACGCAAGCCAAAGATGATCGGTCATATTTGTATGCCTGTCAAAAAAGCTCGATTGCATATGAACCGCTCATATGCACGGACCAATCAAATGCAATTCGGAATTGACCGGTCATATCCCTGTGCAATTTGACAGGCAACTGCGCGTGTGCTATGTCCGGTCATATGCATGTGATATATGCCCGGGCATTTGGCGATGTACGCGATGTTATAAATTTTGCATCAACGCGCTACATGCCCTGCAGACTCGATACATAGCAAATATTTGTTTACCATCGTTTCTGAATTATTCTTATTGTGACGAAAATAGACAAAGTGATTTATTACTTGGCCCACCGCCTAATAATGTAGTCTCTAGTCGCCGGCATATCAGAAAATAACTATGTAAGTGCAATACTTATAACCCAATTGAAGTGGTTTTGTTTGTGCAGTTGATAATGTAATAGGACATCATCAGATCAACGTGGTTTCTACACAATGTTGGAAACAAATAACTTAAACGCCTCTGAAGTATCGAAGTATCGACACGAAACGGAGCAGACTACAGCGAAGAAACACACGAGTCAACAAAGCAACCGCTGGAGGTTACGCGAAGGTCAAAGGTCGCTGACAACTCTTATATTAACGCTTCCGCAATTACAACATCTCTGCTTCAACGCTTGATCTTAGCCTTGAAAGATCCTAAGGGCTTTTCTCAGCCCTACACACAACACGTCAATTGTAGAATTGTATCCATTTACTTGATGTAGTGTATCCATTTACGGTCCGGTCGTGTTGGTTACACTACTTGTTAGAAGAACCATGTGTCATTGCAATCTTGAATTGCAACCCTTATATTTGTTGGGCTGAGAAAAGCGCTAAGGATATTACCAGGCTAAGACCAGTTGACGACGGAAATGCACATTACTTGTTTTCCCGATTAGAAAGTCGTTATACAGTGCCGACACAGCTCTCCATCCAGCTGCATTTACAACATTTGCGTGAAACCCTGTTTCAATATAACACTTTTTTGTGGATTTCTCCAGCATCATACATTCTCCACTGGAATGTTGACCTATACAACCATTATATATGTTTATAATCAACAATAATAAAAAACTAAACTGTATCCGTCCTTGTCACGTAACGGTATGCGTGCACGATGACATCGAACCCGTCAACCCGGCCAATGGACCGTTCATATGCGCGTTGTCTTTCGACCAGTCATATGCTCATGCGCATATGACCGGTCATATGCGCGGGAATATATGACCAGCCATATGTTCATGTGTGTGTTACTGGTCAATTGCGGTAGTGAATATGGCCGGTCATTTGTTCGTGTGTATATTATTGGTCGAGCATATTGTGTCAAAATATGTTCACATATTTTATATAATCGTTTGCAGTTGTAGTGTAGTTATTGCATCATGTTTGGTGGTGCACCTCTTTGTGTTGCTGTTTGCCTATTTGTACTCTCATTTCTCATTAGTGAAGCCCCTCTTTTGGCTTGCCATTTCCTCTCGTCACCCTCACCTAGTTCAAACCCTAAGCTACTATGCTCCTAATCTTAACATGGTATTAAGAGCTAGGTCGTCCTAAGACCTAACCTTTTCATTCTCAATGGGCCCACCGCGTATTTCTCGGTTTGTGGCGCCCGTCGTGCCCTTAGTTGCGACTGATGTGACGGGCGCGACGGCGAGCTGTCTGCTGCTGCCCGTAACCTGCCCGTCTCCTGCCCGTCGCACTGCATCGTCGACCCTGCTGTCATGGCGACGAGCTGGGCGGCTCGGGTCGCCCCGTTGTTTCTTCGCCCTGTCACCCGCCCCGCGCTACCCGCCCCGTTACGAGCTGCCACAGCCACGCGCAGCTGCGCGAAGCTACGTACGGGCACGTGAAGCCGCGCACAGCCGCGCGCAGCCGCGTATGGCCGCGCGCAACTGTGCCGCTCCCCTGCCCCGCACGAGCTGCTCGTACGCCAGTGAAAGGGGGCGGGGGCAGTGTGAGGGGGTGGCGAGAGAGATTCTGCAAAGCCAGCAGCCGCCCCTCCTCTCTCTCTCACTGCCGCTCGTGCTGCTGTGGGGGGGAGGGTAAGAGAGGGTGGCGGAAGTCAGTCAGGAAATTGCAGCTGCCACCCGCTGCTACCGTGGCACCTCTTGCTGCCGCCCCTGCCTCCACCTTCCCTTGTTTCTGTTGACTGCTGCTGGGGCCTGCAGGTGCTGCCGTCGAGCCGCTGCTGTCCTGCTGCACGTTGCAGCCACAGAGCCTGCTCCTCAGGCGACCTGCCGCCCCTACACCTGCTACTGCTTCTGCTTTGGCTGAGGGCGTGCTACAGCTGTATTTGCCACTCCTGCACCGGCTACTACTGCTCTTGCCTGCTTCTGCTTCTTCCGCTGCACTCTTGGTGTACCCCATCAGGGCGCGTTTTTATCAAAATCCTAGCGTGAGTTTGGCTTAGGAGCCATAGTTTAGGAGCCTTGGTAGTTGAGTTCGAGTTTAGGAAAAGTATCGAGAGGTTTGGAAGGAGAGGAATGGGGTTTCACTAGCAAGAGTTGGGATACAAGTACAACACCCTAAATTGGGTTGTACTCATTACAGAGTACCCCACTGCAGGCTAGACAGCAAATACATTCTGACACACCCCCATAGCCAAAGTGGGGTGTAATCAGCACAATGAGCAAGCATAGAGCAAGAGTTCACAATAGGTAAGTAAGGCTAGAGCTAATCACAGAGGGCAAGTGAGGAGGAGGAGAGACTGTGGGGGAGAGAAGATGGGAGGCGACTGCTGACGCTGCAGACACACAGACGAGCTGCTGGCTCAGTGGCTACCGGAACAGCGCTCCGGACTACTGGGGTAACTGGCCCCGCGGCTAAAAGTAGCGGCAGACGAGCAACGGACCCAC